TTGTGTATATACGGACCGGCACAGTGGGCCATACGCAATTGTCTTTAAGTGCGAAAAAAAAGAGAACAAAAGATGAAAATCGAGGGAAAACTTGACATTTCGGAAGGAGAATATCTTAAGAGCAAACAGCGAGAGCTACAGCGGCGCGCTATGTATATTTTTATTGTTCTCACGCAGAAAAAATCAAGAATAACACTATATTTATTTTTAAATATAATACTTAGCCTATAACAAAGGCAAATATTGGAGCGCGCACACAGACAAATAGGCACGGATACAGCCGTATGAAAGGTCTGCCAAATGTGTGAACTTTAAGCTTTTATCGGGTACCTGCTAATAAAAGAGCAACAACCATAACACCGAGTGGGGTGAGGTTGGGGAGCTCGGTTTTAGATAAGGGCGTTAAAATACAACTTTGTTTTTGTGCTCGGCATCCTTCCCTTACCACCGCCAATTAGCAGGAAAATGCATCACAGAAGGTGCACACGCATATGCATACACTGGGCGAAAAGAAGAAGGCCGCTCGAAAGTCAAGTTTGCGAAATGTCTGATTTACGGCCATTTCACTCCGCTATTGTGCGTCATGAAAATGAGAATTTTATTCTCATCTTGCGTCACGAGACCTTAATTAAGTTGGCAACAGCTCTCGACAATGATACTGATGCACAAGAATATTGTAACGTATGTAATTTCAAGCATATTTAATTTTGTAGACTGTTTATTATTTAAAGAAATTACATTTTAATATATAGAGGGGGCAATATCGACTACAAAGATGATGTTTAGTTTTATGTAAATAAAACTTTTCTTCCTTTAAATCCATTATCCAATTTGCTTCAATAATCAAAGTCGAGTTCTCCACATGAATCGAATAAAATCGTGCCACAAGTACGTTGATTGTTTTGTTTTTGAGTCGATTCTCCTCAGTAGCTTTGAATCTAGTTGAATCTGAGCTTAATTTGCTCTGTGTACAGAGCATACTTACAGTGCACCTACATATATGTTTTTATGGACGTGCCCTGTTTAAGCAACCATTATCTGGCACGGACCGGAAACACAAGGCAACCTCTGTTGAAGAACGGCAAGAACAAGAGTCAGAAGAACAGGCAGAAGCAGCAGAAAAGGAAAGAAAGGGAACGAGCAATGTGCCACGGCCAGTCGGAAAGAGACGGAGGCAGAGGTTCTCCACTGCAATCGCAGAATTCCAGACAATGTGCAATCAGAAGTGGGGGGAGTTGGCGGGGAAGTGCAGGCCAATGCCACGCCCACACCGAAGCACTATAGCACCATGGCTCTATAGAATACAGAAACTGCCAGCCAAGCCTTTCTTTCACCATGACGCCTTTCCCAATGTGTGCGGGCGGTCCTGAAAAGGAACCCACAGAACCCGAACCCAACCCAACCCCAGACCAAACTCAACCGAACTAAACTGAAGCCAACGCCAGGCAAGGATGACATTGAAAGGGAAATTACATTTCATGTTTATTGTCTTAATAAAAATAATGTTTTCGCAAAAGAAGCAAAGCACCCATGGCCTGGCCCTCTGCCCACACCCCCACCCCCCCACCCCCCCTCTCATATCGCACAAATCATCTCGGATTCAATGCAAAATGCAGATACCCCAAGACAATCTGTGCCTTTTGTAATGTATTTTTATAGCAAATGCAGCGAAGGCAAAGGAGAGGAGGACAACATTGAATTATTGTTAGCAGTTCAAGGAGTTAAAGCGAAATCCTCTTGAGATTTTGGGCAGGGGGTATGATTTATACCCCAAAAAGTGTCTGCTTGAGATATAGAAATTGATTTGTCCATTTCAAGTCGTAGTAATTCTAGTTTTTTCTTTGTAAGATACAAAATATTCCCATTAAATCCCATTTTTCGCTTCGCTTCGCATTCCCATTTTTCGCTTTAAGCCATATTATCTGTATTAATTGCTCAATATAAAGTTTAATTTTCTAGCATTTTAAGACCTGAGAAGTTCCATAACGTTTTTACGCCTTCCTAACCTCTTTTCAACCCACTGTGCATCGGTTTCGTTTTACGCTCCTTGTTTGCTTTAGCTTCCTTTTGCTGGGTGAGCCGAAATTTAAATATTTGACATTTATTAATGTAATGAAAATGTCATTAAATAAACATGGCAAAATGAAACTGGTTAGCCAAATGTGCGCAGTCAACAGCCGAAATGAAAGCACTTGCCAAGGCATTCCACCTGCTCGGATGTTTCGCCAAAAAAAGGAAAAGAACCTATATGTGACAAGACCTGGGGAATATTCTCAAGCTTCGGGGCAGGGCGAGGGAAAACCAGCATTATTTTTCGGCTCTTCGCACATTCGTCCGCAGCATAAACACCTGGACAACACGTGGTTTTTCCGCCACTAGCTGAAAATTGCTTTGAAGTGGTGTGGGGAATTCAGCGGGGAGACAAAGGAATGCTTCTTCATATTGGCTTTCTGGCTTTCTGGCTTTCGGCTGCCACTCCCCCGCCCCCAGAACACAAAGTGATTCATGTAGTGCAAACATATGTACAACTTTCGCCCCGCCACCCACAATATCTCCCTAGAGGGACCGTTTTTCTTTTTTTCCAGGCGGGTTTTTCTTCAATGCGTGCCAGAAAAATTTCTTTAATTTCGGATGCTTATTTACGTAAACAATTTGAAAAATCATTGAAAATGTGGTACGTTAAAGAGAATATATATATACAAACAGGGCTAATTAAAACTAAGTAATTTCCAATTAAAGAAGTGGGTATACAACATACATACAACTATTCTAATAGGCATAACATATTTTAAACTCTTCAATAATTTCACTTGACACATTTATCTGATCTCCATAATTAGCTTTAAACTACTAAGCACTCCCCAATTTGCTCACATGAATAAGTAGTTGAATAAATCAATCACAGAACCTAATAAAGACGTGCATATAACCTTAAATTATATACGCCCTGTCCCGAATACCCCCAATCAACTATGAATAAATGCCAGCATATGAACGGCAAAAAAACTCAATTAATACACCTTGAATGTGAAAATAGCTGCATGGGGCTAAATAATGTACGAAACAAAACAAAAGCAGCCGAACAGAACGGCAAAAAAATCAGAATTCATGAACATACGTAGGTTTTGGTAGTGAGCCAGACAGTGAGACATTCAGCCGGTCGAATGGGTGGATGGAATAGAGTAGAATAGGTAAATGGATAGTATGCATAGAATAATAAATAGATGGAACCGCCTGCCCGGGCATCACAGATAAACCCAGTGGAAGGTGGGTTGCTCAGTTCCAAATGTAAACAAAATGCAGCCGCTGCCGGTTCGTATCGGGTACGTATCGGGAACGTATCGGGTAGGTATCGGTAAATCCGTAAATCGTGTCGTTTCAGTCCGATTCGCTTCGGGTCGGCTGAAGTTAATATAAACAAGCGGGCCAAGAAACAGAGCCCGTAATTATTGGACCGCATGTAAAATAGCCTCAAAGCTAAACAAAAAGTCTTAAAGGTTGCCCTGACTAAAAACGAAATGAACTTGATACTCTTCTTCTCCCCTGCTTTTCCACTCGACATTCGCTGCTGTTCTCTCAATTGTGTGGAAAATTGAAAATCAAATGAATGCGGTCGCGCGCAAGGGAAAAGCTGCGGAAAACGTAGGTAGAAGAAGCGGCAAAGGGAAAACATAGGCAACAATGTCGATATAGCAGCACAGCAATCCAATCCCAAGTCCAACCAGCCAGCCCAACAATATGAACTAAAATGCAATACAAAAATATCGAAGTCCGCTTAACCAAAGGCCAAAACAGTAGAATGCAGGAGAGACCTTGTCCAAAGGGAGAAAATGGGTGGGTGGGTGCTCTGCAATACAAAAACAGAATTCACAAAGCCCGGCAAAGAAGAAATGTGATTGTCCATTTTGTGGTAAAAGTTCTCTTTTCAAAAGTGTAAAAGATATGTAATAGGATAATGGATTTTCTGCCGCTACAGAAATGTGTGCTACAATCCATTCTCTTAAATTTTTAAAATTAAATCTTGGCTTCCAAAGCGCCGTTTGAAAAAAGCTACCCCCCTTATGCACAAAAAGAAAAATATCTTTATCTTTGTTAATTTTAAACTCTTTACTCGTGGAGTAAATGGATATATTGTTTTCGTCGGAAAGTATCTAACAGGTAGAAGGATGCTTTTACGACCCTATATATATTCTTGAACAGGAAGAGTTATTTGACTATATAAAAAGATGGTATCTTTGTTCTATTTGTATCTTCTTTTTATTGAACTTTAAGATTTTGGGACAAAGCCTAAGTTTCACAAAAAATGTTTGGTTTTCGAGGCTTTTTTAGAGGCTTCGGAATAACCACATTTGTTTAATAGAAACCAATACTTTATTTTATATTGCATTTTATAATATACCCCGGACAACTACTCAGAGTATTTTATAATAGAACCCTTGTATTCTAATGTGATCCAGTTTTTTGACACGTTCGATAGCCTTACCATCGATTCCTGTCACCTCTTATTAGTATGGTTGCTTCCGTTTTTGTGGCTAGTGCCTGGGAGCAAGGTGAATTTGGAAAGGGGAAAGGTCGGGTGGGTGAACCCCCTCGCCCAAACGAACATGCATGCATATGTGGGTGTACTTTGTTGTGGGCGGCGGGGCAATTAGGGGGCGTGGGATAAGGTTATTGGGTGTTATAGTAAGCCACAAACAATCTGCTGTTTTTATTTATTCCCCTTCGTTTTTTCCCGCTTTGTTTTGCTTTGTTCGGTTCGGTTGTGTTCTGTTTTGCAATTTCTGCTATCACAGCTGCAGTTTACCCATACGTTTTCTGTATATGCAAGCCTGTATTTTGTTATTCCTTTATCCTCGGGTGCTACGTAGGTGTATTTATGTATACCCACACCCATTGGCGAAGGGGTGTTATGGGGACAACTTATAGGTTAAAAGGGACTTCTTTGTTTATCATTATGCTTATTGTAGGGTTGTCTATGGGGTGGTTGGGGTGGTACTTACCAAGTGATTGACCAGAAATCGCTAAAAATATCGAGAGGAATGAAAGAGCGCTAGCCAAGAATTTTGCCTCCATCTTTGGTATTGATCCGTTGTTGTTGCTGGTTGTTATTAATTATGCTGCCGATGTGTGTTGTTATGGTTGTTGGTGACTTGTTGTTGCTGTCGTTTTCGTTATTTCCTTGTCATTTGCATTTATTTTAGATTTGTGAGTTTACTCCGTTTAATGATTGATTAATTATTTGTGTTGGTTGGTTGTTGTAGGTTGTGGTGTTTCTTTTCTTTACTTTTCTTTTTTGTACTTTAAGCTTAACTTACTAAATCATTATGGTAAATAATTATTTATAAATAGATCTTTAAATGTATACGTTATTAGGCTCAGTTGTTTAATTTGATATTAGTTGATGCAGTTGATGTTGTTGTTGGTTGGTTTGTTTTGGATCTTCCTTTTGGTGCTTTGCTTGAATGCGAATTTTCTATTTAATATTTAGACCAGCTTTCCTTTCTTTGGCTCTTCCACTTCCAGCTTTTCTATTTCGTTCTTAATTCATTAAGCTATTTTCGCAAATAAAACGTTAAAAAAATTTCTCATTTTGCATTTATTTTCGTTTGAAGGTAAACTTTTCGTGCGCTTCTCGTTCTTCTTTTTGTTGTCATTCGGTTCGGTTTTAATTTTATGCTTTTTGCAAAAACAAATAAATATGAAAAGTCAGCGAAAGAAGAAAGGAAGAGAGAGTGAGGAGAGTGCATTCAAATTCAGAAGGTAAAAGTGGGGGAGGAGCGGAATCAAGGATTCAAAAACCAAAATCAAAACGAGAGCCGACTAACAACATTTAACATTCAACCAAATATGTTTTTCAAATTTGTTTTTCTTTTAAAGGTTTAAATTATTTTTTATTGCTGTTCAACACGTTCTGTTATTTCGAGGGGTGGGGGTGGTAGGAATGCTTCCTGCTAATTTAACGATAACTTTCTCAGCTTTATTTCACGCACATTCGGAAAAGCTCTTACAGACACACACATACGCGCTTCAAACTTGTCCCAGTCCAAAAATTCTATTTCTTTGCTGGCAAAAAAGAAAAAGAAATTATGGCACGTTAACGACGAAAATACTACTTTTCTGGCTAGACACGGCCAGCAAGAGAGCGGCAGAGAGAGAGGGAGAGAAAGTACAGGGGCTCTCGAGACTGAGAGCAAATAATTATGTTTTACACGGGCAACGCAACAATTTCTAGCTGCTTTTTAGCCAATGGCCAGTGCTGCTGTTGTTGCAGTTGTTGTTGTTGTTGCTAATCTTGCAAGGTAGTGGTCGTACTTGTACTAGTTGTTGTTGTTATTGCGCAACGGGAACACAAAAGGCGAACGAAATTTGGCGAACGGGCCAAAACGAGGCGAACAGAGCAGAGCGAACGGAGCGACCGCGGCGAATTCAGCGAGCAGACTGAACCGCACACATGACCAACGGCCGAGAGTAGCCGCCTTCGCCGCAGCGGGCGTCTCTGCCGCTGCCGGCGGCGCTGCGGCAGCGACGTCGACGCACAGTGATTTGGGTTCCCTTAGATATAGTACACTCGTCAGCTTATCTTAATAGTCCGGCCGTTATCTTGACCAGGCCGATTACGAGTGCTTCACAAAATGGCGAACGAGAATATCAATCCCACCGTACTCCTCAAGGTTTCGATACCCTACACTAATTTTTATTCAGAAATCTATTGAGAATTGAAAACACACAAAAAGCTATCCAATAACGTACCACAACATGTTTCAAGACTAAAACTATGTGTATCCTCTCTTTAAAGTGGATTAAAACCGCTAGAGACCTTTGCGGCACTCCCACTCCGAACTTGAGCTTCAAAATGTCAAAAAAGAGGTTAGTAGAGTACAAGTTCCCAAAAGTATACTAGAATTTATTTTATACCCGAATCCCTAATCCCTAATTTAAAATTGTAGGAAGTAGCTTTTTTTAAGAATGATTGCATGACTCTTTTAAAGTCGATTCCAAAAAATGACTATTTCTGCTCCCCGCTTTCTGCTGTTATGAACAGGCCAATTGCAAGGCTTTCAGCAAGTGGTAAAAATATATACAAATGAGACAAAATGTAGGCTACATTATATGGCTAAACAGCAAGTACAACTAATATATGCTCATTCTGCTGATAGAAATAAACCTGTTTGATATAATGATAAAAAAAATAAGACTAAAGGGATAACTGATTTTACTAGTTGCTAATGATCTTAGTGGCTTCTTTTGCATACAGATTTTTAACTTAAGTACGTTTGTTTGAATAAATAAGAAATACAACTATTTTCCCTAAGTGTTAATCCCTTAAACGTTTAAATCACCCTAGAAAAACGAACTGAAAAATGATACTGCTACCGAACAATTAATACTCGCAGGCAACGTCATTTTCATTCATTTGCCCAAGTGACACTGTTTGAGAGTAATTACGGACAATTAGTTGATGATCGAAGAAAAATAACATTCCGCTGGCCTCACTGCTTGACGTCCGCATAAATGCTGATAACAGCAGCAGACCTGAGATCTATTATTTCTATAATTTCGTACTGCGGATCCGCCGACAGAACTACAATTTCCATCCTTATCAGTGCGGGAGGGCAATCGCTGACTAAGCAGTAAAGATAAGATGGGAAAAATCATACACCAGTGATGACAAGTTTTAAACTCACAAGCCTTATATATATTTACAAGGTTCCTTAATATCTCATGAACAAACTGTTTCTGTGGATTAGCCAGGACTTGGACTAGGAGGGTTTTAGAGCAACATTTGTTTAAAATATTTCTTAACAAAAAAATTTGCAACTGGAAAAGATACCCCCGATCCCCTTCTTAAAAAAATATATTTTTTAACTCCGAGAATAATGTTTTTTTATCATTCTTCCTATAAACTATTTCCTATAAACAGTAAACATTTCTTTAAAACAATTGTGAAATACAGGAAGATACAACGAAAACTAGTGAAAATAAATGTTCAAAATTCTGGCAATAAAACCGTCAAACTGACACAGCTAAATCACAGCGCGCTCGCATTTTGTTTACCGCCACACGACGTGCGGGCATCAGCAGATGGAACATCAGTAGACCCGTTTCCGTAACGTGTCACGAATCAGACTCATTATATCGCATTAAGATAAAGCCCCAATGCAGTACTTTGAACAAACACGGGGCTACCGTCCGTCCCACCACCACCAGCACGACCAACACCCTAGCCACATGATATAATACTATATTATAGCGAAGCATGGTCGACAACGACGTCAGATGTCCGCGGCCCAGTCACAGAGTCCCAAAGACCCAGACCGTCCAAACTGACCGCTCTGGTCCATCGCCGTCCCGCTCGCACTGCCGCACTGGTTTCGGGCGGTTCTGTGCGGTTCGCACATGAATGTATATCCATCTTTTCGGGCAGGGAACTTTGCTAATTCGGCATGGGTGGTGGATCGGGGGATCGGCGGCAGTGGGCGGGGGGTCGTCTCGTCGCATTTATTATTGGTCAGCCGTATTTATTTTTACAAATTTGCGAGAACAAATATGAAATCAGCTGTTTGCATTACCCGCTGAGCGTAACGATCAAGGGTATATAGTATTTGATGAGGTGTTTGCAACACTAATAGTACAAAATTCGCACTGCTAGCAGAAGACAAAGCTCAGTACAAACATGGGACACTTTGGGGAATAGATTAATAAAACTCATTATTTTCTTAGCTACACAGTTTTCATTACCTCATGTTTCTTATCTAGACTACAGTTAAGGAAACATCGTTCTAAAAGTCAATTTCTATGACGACAATGGCGTAGATTTTCCCAAGCTCTTGCGAACTGATAACACTTATTTGACGGACTCGCGGAAAAAAAACTTTCTTGCGATAATGTGATTGATGAAATAAACTAATTACCTTTTGTGTATTAATAGTTTTCTACATCGTTACCTAAAAATTAACACACTTAAATTAAAATTTTAAATTCAAAATTAATTATTTCAAAAATTAAAAGAATTCATATAATTCCTAGTCATAAATATTCGGAATGGGAGGATTTGCTTTGCTTATTCCAAGTCACGGACAAAAATATATTAAATTTCATGTATCATATTAATTAAATTTTATACCATCTGTTTTCATTTTTCAAACAAATATAGTATCCTGAAATTATTTAAATTTTTCTAGAAAAAGGGGGTTCAACTCGCCAATGGGATTGGGAGATTATAAAAGTGATTTCATCGTGTGTCTTTGGCTACACATTTGACTATTTTCTTATAGTTTCAAGTTAAGTACAACTAAAGTGAGATTTATGATGGATCCTACACAAACTAGTTTACGTATCCGTATTTTTTGGGGCGGAGGGGGTAGTGGTTGTGCGGCATGCTATCGATTCGGAGGAGAAACAAAAAACAATGCTATCGATTTGCTGCTGGCCTCGAGGTCAATCGAATGCTAAATGCCATGGTAGTTGTGTGCGGGCATTTGTGCCAAAGTTTTGTTCCTTCTTTCGCGTTTTATTGGCAAACTTTGAGCATAAACACTTTGGAGACAAATTGCCCTAACCGCAAGTTAGGCAGCGGAATATAATAGAGCAGAAAAGAGCAGCAGCATAACGTCATCGTCAGCCATGACTCAGTTTATTTGCTCTCTCGCACACTCACTCAGGCGACCCCTCCCCCTGCCCCCACACACACACTCACACCCGCTCTCAAGCGGCACACTCACACAGACGATGCTGCTTTGAGCTGAGGCCAAAATCGAACTTGGATGCCCGAAAAAAGTATAACTTAAATAATAAGAGCAGAAGGCATTTTGAGAGGGGAGAGGTGCCAATTTAATTGCCTTAATGAAAAGGCTTAGAAAAATAAGACTGAACTCCATCATCACAATCGAATTCACGCGCTCGAGGTGGAACTTGGCTTCTTCCTCTTCCTCACTTGGTCAATAAAGTTCATTCAAATGAGTGTGTGTGTGTGTGTGTGTCGGTGTTGTCATTGATGGCGATTACAGTAAAGACAGGCTTTGAGTCGAAATCTGGGTTCTAATTTTGGTCAATTGTAAAAACTTCTATAGATCAAACCTCTGTGAAAAAAGGTAAGGTAAAGATAATTTTAAGTCAACAGACTTCGGATGAAATGAAAATTCAGCTCTGATTTTCTTTGATTGAATAATCTCGTATACAATTCTTTTAAGTTTCGAATTAAAATTTTAGTCTGCTATTACTCAATTGATACTTAATTGAAATTCAATAAAATTCGAATTGATGATAATTTCATTGTTGCCTTTAAGTTCTTGTAAAACTTGACCTATCTTACTATTTTTTGAATTAAAATAGAAAATCGTTTTGTACTGCAGTTGGTCTCCGCGATGTATGCTATAAAAATATGTCCTATAGGAAACGATTCAAAAAATAATATAAATATATACGAATATGTTAAAATAATAAAACCAAAAAGGGTATAAGTCCTGATATCATAGCTTTGCTTAGCATTAGCATATCCAAGGTTTTGTTGGAGGAATTTGTATTTTTTTGATAAAATTTTTTTTTTAATAACCAAAACCCCTACCTACGCCTCTGACTTGTACCCCACTGTGCTCGTGATCCGCAAAGTATGCAACTGAATTTGAGTTGGCAGAAAGCACCGGGGAAACTGCAATTAAGAGTGAGTTGAGCTATTTTGAGCCGCTGTTCATTAGCCGAGAGCCATCACTGTATCGATGTTGATGTTGGTGTGTCATGGCAGGCTGGATGACGTGATTGTCTCCTCTCCTCTCCTCTTCTCTCTATCTCCCTTTCTCGCTGCTTTTCTCCTTTCTCTGCGCCCGCATATGATTAAAACGGCAAAACAAGATAAAACTCGTTGGGGCAAAGGAGCTGCTGCCGCCTGCTCATTGTTTTTGTTGTTGCTGGTAGGTTGGATAGGCCTTGCCAGTGGGTCAGTGTTGGAAAAGGGGGAAGGGGGAAGGGGAGGTCGGAAAAAGGGGATTGTGGGAGGAAAAATATACGCATGACACTCCTTGCCGCCGCACTCATACACTCGCACACACTGACAGATACACCAACACCAGCGGAGCACGCGACACACGCACACGAGGTCACTCACACAGGCGCAGGCCGTTCTCCCCACACCCACACACTCGCACGCATTAAATGTTATTAGTTTATTTACAGCATTAACCAAACGTTCATGGAATGTATAGTAATCTACATCATACATCACACTGGAGTACATATATGTACAAAAGAGCTGGGCAAGCACCCACACACACAGAGATTGCTTTAAACACTTTTCGGCACAGTAATAGTAACGCGTTGGGGTTTTTCGTAATTCATGTTGTTTTTTTTTTGTTTTTTGGGAAGGGGTCTCTTTATCTTTCTCTTTTCGCTTTCTTCTTTTTAGCAGCGATGACGACAGCGTGCGCGGCGCTTTTTTCATACGCTGCTCTGCCTTTTTGCCTTCAATAACATTTACACTTTGCACTATTTATGTAATAGTTTTTCAATCGGTGCGCGGTGTTTCATCTCAGCACGATTTTCGGGCAATGGCTGGCGAGCACTTGCCGCAGACTGGGTTACGAATTATGTACATTTTTCACATTTTTCCCCGATGATTTTTCTTTTGTGTTTTACTACCAAAGAAGAGAACAAACTACCAATACACACGCACGCACTCTCGCACACACACACAGCGAGCGGGGCACGCACCACACACACACAACACATTCGTACACATGTACACCGCTCAATGACGAAATTCCTCGCAAAGCGTTGACAACTCTAGGTTCTAGCTCTCGCTCTCCAGCTCCTCCGCTATGCTTCTGCTGCGTGTGTGTGAAAGAGAGGTACTGGTACTTGTACTGGTGTGCTTTTCGTCATAATTTTTGCGTTGGGCAACCCAGCACCTTTGACTTCTCGGCGACTTTTCACACGAACAATGCCGGGACGGGCACACACTTTCACCGCTGGCACACGGGCTGGGCCTTAAACCGATCGACTTTCCACTCTTTTTTCCATTTACCTAGCACACAAAACACAAAAATTCGATTTTTTCCTCGCTGATATTTTCACGCGAATGACCTTACATCACATGCATACAATACACACACACATACAACTGAGGCGGCGGTATGACCAAATGGCAGGAAAAATATTTGACGATATATACCAGAAAGGCAGTGCTGCGCCTTTTTCCAACACTACTGTGGAACGTACAAGCTTTTGAAAAATCCATGTAAATCGCCTTATCCCTTTCTCTCCAAGGTTGAAGACGTTCAATAAAATACCGTTCGATGGTAAAGCCTAGTACTCAGATCGACGAAAACCGCGAGCTAACCATAGGAGTGAGCGAGAGGCAGATACGCGGCTAACGCTTTTCTTCGGGTCTGTTTTTCAGCGCGGTACTCAGATGAGCTAAGGAAATACCAGAAAAAATACCAGATTTGGCGAGTGAATTTTTTTAGAAACTTAGCCGCGGCCCAAAGTATAAGAAAATTAATCTTTGGCGGTGTTCGTACAAAGGCGATGTGGAAACTAAAAATTAAAAATGGATGGAAAGCCCCAAAATCGGATGCAGGAGGTCAGGGCAGATGAAATAGGACGTCAAATCCAAGCTTATTTATTGTGGGATTTCACCGACAGGAAGCAATTCCACAAAAGGGGCAAATTCGCAGAATAGTTGAAGTGCTGGAGGAAATCCACTAGAGAATACCAGTGGGAAGGAACATGCCGAGTGGAACTTCGATCTCTACATGGACATCCTGCCGGGCGCGTCCTCGCAAAGAAAGTAAGATCTGGCCAAAAGAATTTGGTTGCGTTCTACTAATAGAAGTATCTTTTTAACAGAACCACCAGTAATACGATCTCCGACGACCTCTCCATTAGGACTCCGGACACCACCACCACCGGAGCTGGCAGCTTAAGCGGAGCTGGAGGACTCTCTGGCTTCTATAGGCGTGTAAGTTCCATAGCGTGTATATTCGTATCATTATCGCGTGGATGATCCAATTTTGGTCGTAGCACCATTGCACCACTACTTCTATATGTAAAAAGATATGATTATAACTCCATAACTAGACGTCACACAGGCCACATTGCGACCGTTATATACATTAAGTTTTTTAGACACGCGTGGGGTCTGGTATTTTTCGATGTGCGTCAAATAAGCGTCGATTAAGGAACGGTAAAATATAGAGTAAAAGTCCTTTGAGTTGATTTTCTCGCTTATTAAACAAAAAAAATGATCAAATTTAATTTGGTCTGTCAAAGGGCATGTACCAAAAAGTCGAGTATGTAGCTAGATGTGGCGCTTAAAAACAACATTGTCCGGAACTATTTTTTTAAAAATCTCCAATAGTTTTCAAGAACATCGCCTTACAGCGGGTAAAGTTAGTGTGGACTGAAGGGCTAGTTAGAAAACCGCCAACTCTAAAATTGATCTTTCTCTTTGATTCGATAGCAGATTTGTGCAGTGTGGCGGCCCTAAGACTGCGCATACGCCAACGGCTACCAATTGTGCTCTGTTAGTTAACAGGAACGACAGAGGGCGCATTCAAAATAATAACAGCGCGATAGAACTATCGCACGTGTGGATGGATGTTCCCACGCTCCTCGCACGGTCACACTGCATCAGTCATCAAAGCGGGTGTGGATTGCTGTTGGTTTTGTGTTGTTTAAGTTTTTCGAATCTTTGAGTTCCCAAGTTAGTTTTATTTACATTTCTGTTGATTAATACAATGCGTGTGGCCTGCTGAGCAGCTAGAGCAGATCGATTTTGATACCGAGGTGAGTGAAGGAGCGTTTTCGGTGCTGTTCCACTTGGCGACCCGCCCAATTTGTGTGTTGGGCTGTCTTCAAAATGCCTAAGCCAGTGTTATTGTGTTGTTGTTGGCACATGGGCGTTGACCGAAAATCGAGCCAGTGCTTGTAATATTGGCTGAAACTTTTACCTGTTTCTTTTGTACTCAAATACAACTTGATTACAGCTAGTGAGATCCTTGTTGGCTCCTTTTTTCCTGCCTAAAGGAAATATGAAGCTGGTGTTTTAGCCACCTGCTGCCTAATTGCATTCCGGCGTCTTCTTTAGTTTTTTGTTTTTAGGCTCTCGAATTTCGCCAACAGTTGCTCCTTTGACCGCCCAAATGTCCTCCCTGCCGTTTCAATTGCACTTTTGCCCTCTCAACTTATTTTGAATGGGTCTTCTCGGCTAATTAAAGCCCACTTTACTTACTGTGCTTGTGGTGGTGTGCCCTGGTACACAGAAAGAAATAAGTGAAAATTTGACATAGACAGACAATTGGAAGTTTTAAGTGATATGTAATATATTAAATAATAACACAAAAAAATAAAATATCGGAATAATTAATTATAAATTAGAAAATGAATTTTAAAAAATAATTACGTTGTTATTTTTACAAGCTAAGTTGTACAACTTGGTGTGATCAAACAATTTTTTAAAAATGTGAGTACTTTTGTGACCCTTTCTTTTTTCTGTGCAGGTGTGTGTGAAGGGTGGATTACAAGTCGCGTTGTTGAAATTATTACGAGTTCGGTATTTGTTTTCACTGCCGAGAGTAGAGACCCCTATAGGCCAGTAACTTCTGCTGCTTCAGTGCACAGAGTATCTCGCTATAGACACCTATGTATGTCTATGGTCAGGTAGCGGCCGTTTTATTTGCGTGTGCGTTCGGTTCCAGTGTGTTACCTTTCCCGTCCTTTCCGTTCCTCGCCGGTAAATGCATTTCAAATGCAGACACACTCCCTCCGTTCTGCAGTTTCATTTCACCTTCCTCGCTTTCTATGTTGCGGTAGAAGTCGGTGCCTTATTGTTCTGCTGGCTGAGTCCCTTTTGTATGGTTGCCACAAGGTTTTGACTTTTTACCTAACCTAAGGAGTTAATGCCATGGTAGGGAAGTTTTCGAGGTCCTTGCTCGAATGATGCATTCCCTGTCTCCCGGCTGATCGAGTGCTGATAAGGCGTAGTCCTTAAATTATGCGCATATTTTAATGTTGCAAACATTCCACCACCGCATTTTGCACTACATATTAGAATATTACGGAACATATAAAAGTAAATATTATTATTATTTCGTCTTGTGAAATATAATATACTTTTTTGTTTTGAATTTTGAAAAAATATAAAAAATAATAGTTCTGCTTATAAATACTAATAGGAAGACATTAATAAAAAAAATTTATCCAATAATGAAAATGTATTTGGAATTGTTCGTGGTTAAATGATCATAACCATTTACTGGATGGATGAACAATTTGTGATCAAAGTCGTTTTGTGAACCACTGATTCATAATCTCTTTCTAATCAGCAATAAGTTACGGACGCATTAAAAACGCATTGGACGGGCATCTTGAGTGCCCCAAATCCCTGCGTGGCACACATATTTCCGTCTAAGACTAATTGCGCGCCCACTTGAATGACATTTACTTTATGTTTGACATACTTTTTATAGTGCCGCATGCCCCTTCAGAAGATCTCTGTAAATATACGTTCATTGCTCCTGCAAGATCGAGCATATAGTCTATTAATACCGATGTCGGCGCCCTCATTATCGACTTGTTCGCAGCACGCGGAAATCAACCAACCAACAACAATCCTCGAACATGAGATGCGGCCCATGATTTAGGCAGTAGGGTGTCTCAGAAATATACTATATGTACATAGGCTTTATAAACTTAAGTTTTAAAGAAGTTTAGTTAGACAGTCAATATCGTCAAATTTATAAATTTTGACTTATTTCTGTTAGAATTCTGTACCAAGTATTAAACCTGTTACGTAACAAATTATTATGATATTATTTAGTAATTAAATTACAATTTTATAAAACTACAAAGAGGCTTAAAAAGTTCCCACTGGTGAAGAATCGTGTTTCGATTTGATATCCTTTAAAAATACATAGTCAAATAGCGTTTTTAATGGCCCCCAAATATTGAAACACCCTACTAGACAGGCATCACCAACAACCAGAACACCCAAATCATAGCTCCCTATTTATAGTATATAGGAGATGCAGTTATACTCAGCATTCAAATTCATTCACTTTTGACTTCTCCTCAGGAAAGATGTGGCACTTGCTGCGCGCCCTGCTCGTGGTAGCCGCCGTTTTGGATGCACTGCAGCCGGCGGTCGGTCAGAGCGACACCTACTACAACCCCAACCAGAATCAGCAAAATCCCCAGCAACCGCTCCTGCCAAACCAGCAGTGGGGCAACAATCCCCAGACGAATCAATATGGCAACACTAATCTAAATAATGGACAAACGAATCCCAACGATCGCCCGCCCTATAGAACCGATTCCGGAAGCTTCAACGATCTTGCCGGGCAAGATGAGTACGGAAAACGAGTGGGAGGAGGCTATATGGAAAACGAAGAACCGAGTTTGACTCGTGGAAAGTCCTCCTATAATATCAAGGCCACTTTTCTAGAGTCGCTACACTCGAGGGAGCCCACCTACTTCATTGTGGCCTCTCGAATGGTCAGACCTGGTCTCATCTACCAAGTGTCCGTGTCCATTCTTCAAGCGCAATACCCGATAACTGTCCATGCCAGCATAGCCTGCGATGGTGTCCAAATCAGCGGCGACTCCAAGGATGTAAAGGAGGGCGTGCCTGAGACATTGCTCATGAGAATCCCACCCACCAGTGTGACTGGAAACTATAAGTTGAGAGTAGAGGGTTTCTACCAAAATGTGTTTGGTGGCCTGGCCTTCCTTAACGAAACTAGGCTAGACTTCTCGCAGCGTTCCATGACGATCTTTGTGCAGACCGACAAGCCTCTTTACATGCAAGGCGAGACTGTGAGATTCAGGACCATTCCCATCACTACCGAACTCAAGGGATTTGACAATCCTGTAGATGTGTACATGTTGGATCCAAATAGACATATTTTAAAGCGTTGGCTTTCGCGGTAAGTACAATCTATAGCTTACGAAGAATACTAGTTAAACAATTTTAAATCAAATTCAAAAAAAAAAAAAATGATTAAACATATTTGTGACAATTGAATAAGCTTTAAAGGCAAAAGTTCAAATTGCTTAGAATTATGAAATTTTCTATTCAAATGCATAATCCCCCATTTTTATATATTCAGTCAGTCCAACTTGGGT